AAATATCAACAGGACCCTATTTTAGACGACCGGCTATTACTTCTAGGCAAGGAATTCCCTTAAATGTGCTGCGGAATCCATGCAGGGCGAGCGGTTTGTTTATGCTAACCGCCGCAATTCCACGTCGACCATACAAAGAGAAAGGGCAGTATGATAACGGCGTTTACAGTGGACCTCAACCACGGCTCCGTGCCGCCTGTAAATGTTGATACGGCATACATTCTCTAGAAGCATGTTTGCGCTAAGTCCATCATCCCTCTAAAGTTATTTTGGTACACTATGGTAAGTTCCTAACATGAGTATATGAACAGGCACTAGTTCTACGTTCATAAGAGTGCTGCAGAATGTCATTTTCAACTGTAAGGCCAAACTCGTGTAAAAAGATACAGATTTTGACCGGGTAAGTTAAGATACGTTTACTTTTTTGGAATCATCAGGCAGCAAACTCCAGTTTCAGAGTGGCTCACAGCGACAAGCTATCAGACGATCGCCCTACATAATGCAGGATCAGGTATCGATAGCATAATTTAGAATGTGTGCACGCGGGCAGACCCATTGTTAAAAATGCAAACATGTGGCAGGCGTAATTGTTTCTATCTTCAATGATAACGTGTTAGATCAATGAAATTTGACCACATGACGAGATTTTAAACCGCGAAAACTTTATGCTGCATCTGCTTACATGTTGCATTTTGTCTGAAACCAGATGTTGGCTTCTGATTACCCTAAATTCGGTCGGTTTGATGGCGAAGCCGGTGAAATGCCTCTGAACATGAGAGCTCGAACAAGGCCCTCTGCAGGCCGCCGAGTGTCTATCGAAAAAGAAAGTCTCGTGTAGCATAAACAGATTTTTCGGTCTGATCTGTCAGCAATGGGGATGGCGGATGGCCTATAAAATATGAAAGGAGAAGTTTGTGCAGCTTTGGCTAAGAACAGTTTGAGGCAATGTGCCAGCCCTGAAATCAAAGTATACAAAAGTGGTGCAGATGGATGGCACCGAGTGAAATAAAAAATTGTATCATGTAGTGATAACGATAAGCATGGTCTCGCGTGGTCCACATTATGTGTTATTCCATGCCATTATATCGGTTTCTCCAATTTGAAATACGAGAGGGATTCGCGAAAATTGTGCAAATATAGTCATTGTTGGTATATGAATTTTTTCGACGATAAACAATACTTTAAACCCTCATACTTCTCTTCAAACAACACGGTCCTTTCTCACCGTATGTGAAAATCCTACAAATCAACCTATTCATAGTTTTTGAAGTCTCCTTTTTTAATGTAGTGGTTCGCTGGATTAAGCCCCACTTTCGTGGTAGGACCTTTTTTCACTGCTTCCTTCGTTGGCAATATTTTTGAAAGAGTGCTGGCTATTGTTTGAAAATAAACGATATGTTGGCAGATGCAAAGTTTTATCCCTGCCAAACTACACACTTCTGCTGCTTGTGTGGTTGCTCACACAGTGCAACAATTAACCACATTGTGGTAATCTTTACTGCAGTACAAATTTTGTAATTACGAAGCCCTCTGGGCCTAAAATATAAAAATTATTTATTTAATTAATCAACCTAATAACCAGTACATCTGCGCCTATCGAACCAAGTAAACCAGAAAAAAGTGCTCGCTTATTTGAAAATGTGAGCCGACAACAAGCACCGTATTGAGTCGTAAGCAGAACGAAGTCGTAAAAGGGGTCTCGGAGTCAGTGTCACAAATCC